TAAGAAGTCTTCAGGAATGGTTCATGACTCAATTGCCTCCTCTACAAATACCCAGTAATTCCAAATTTACAGTTATCACAGGAGAAAAGCTGTGGTGACTGAAATGAGGCAAATTGCTTCATTGTATGAAAGTTTGTGTCGGAGGCAGCACAAGAAGTTGTAAAATGTAAATCTCGTGCTCTCAGATTTCCCCGTGTTTTCACAGAACTGCATCTGTGACTGTGCAGCACTACAAAAATTTCCTGCGAATGCGCTAATAGGCCTTATGAGAATGTTCTATCACCATCCATCTGTCACTTTTTAACAGGCCTGATTGGCAAGCACTTGTAACAACTGACATCTGTTCTCGCTTATTGATATGTAGATTTATGGTAATTGCTGTGAACAATAAGACACAAAATTACCTAAGGTGAACATTAAATTAAATTTTCATGCCCCTATCCTTATAAATAATTTTTTTAAAAAATCTTAAGTTTCAAGCAAGACATACTGTGCATCTGTTTTGTACATAATTTAATTGTTTTTTTAATCTGCCAAATAACAAAACGAAAGTTGAATTTCCTTGCAATCTTGAGTATTTGCCAAGCTGATAGCACATTGGTAAATACATGTTATTAAAAATGGAATCAAACTGTATTGTGATTCTGGTTTCTTTTAATAATTTCCCTTTAATTCCCAACATCGTCTCCATCATGAAGATCAAGAGTTATTCCTTACCCAGAAGTTTTTTTTTTTTTCTCCCCTACAGGGGGATTTTCATTTTTCATGTGCAGCTCTGCCTATGAGGCTGTTCTTCAGCGTTAAGCAATTTGCATTTCTTCAGAGAGGTGCATTTGCTGAGTGAGCAGCACTTTCAAATAAAAACGATCTACTCATTTGCGGTCCAGCTCTGTTGCGGGATTTGGGACTGTTTTGAAAAGGCTGTAGGATGTGAAATGTGTGAATACAGTGTGTGAAAGGGGAGAGAATGAGAGAGCAGATTAGTCCCACAGAACTATACCTTGGCTGAAGTTCAATTGAACCAAAAATCCCCATTTGAAAGCAAAGTACTTTTTGGGTCTGGGACTGGAGAGCATTTGGTTTCCCTCCTCCAAGTTTGTCCTAGCAAGTGGGATGTTGACGCACTTGACAAGTTGACAGGAGAAACCAATAAACAGGGAGCAGAGATAGTAAAATGCCTGGGGAATGTGAAACAGTGATGACAGGACTTATTTTTATATGTTTGAGCAGACAGAGAATCCTAAAGAGTGATAAACGTGTTGACACAACCAGCTCTAGAGCATGCCGGATGGCGGTGTGTGCCGTGAGTCCTTGCTGCCATTCACATTCGGGTGCTCAGTTCAGCGGGGCTCTTTGCTGTCCTTCTCTTACATGGGTGTGACAACAGCAAGCAGTCTTTTTTCCTGAAGGCACCGAAGCTGACACCCTGTAACATCTGCAGAGCTGGTTTGTGGCCAGTGTCTTTTAGTCACCTCTACAGTAAAAGAGACTGGGTGGGGAGACAACTTCGTCACTGCCTAGCTCTTGTTTCTTAATCTTTTTTCTGGCTTTGAAACTCTTCCGTCAAGTTGATGGGTTCCTCTTGTGCTTCCACAGGAAATGTCCCACTATAAAAAAATGTTTTTGAGGGATGAGGCAATGCTGGTGTTTGTTTTGCATCTGCACAGGCAGGACGGTGGTTCGCGAGCCCAGAGAGAGCGGTTGTTTGTTCCGCTGCCTGTTGACCTTGTCTTGCCTCCTGTACTTTTCCTTGAGTGCTGTACAGTGTGCGTATGCTGCCTTCCAGCTTCGCAGCCCTCTATGCTCATAGCCTTCTGCAGCCTTGCATGCACAGACAAAGCCATTAAATTGCTTCAAAATCCATTTGCTTCTAAACTGAGGTTTGGAGAAAAGTCCATGCGTTTTCCAGAAGTATGTGGGGTTTCATCTAGGTGAAGCTATTTTGCAGTGTCTCCTCTAGTACCATTCTGTATTGGTTTGCTGTTATTTAATTCTGCCATGTGTGCTGGTTAAAAGTCCAAAGTGGAAACGTCCCCACAGAAAAAATATAAGATTATTATGACTGATCCTTCTGATGAATAACTAACCAGTGGGTGATAGAAAACCATGCTGCCGTGGTGGAGAACAACCCACTGCTTTACCAAATTTCCATTACAGTATGGCATGAAATGTGGCCTCAGTGAAGACCAGCAATGTTTGCTCGACATTCTTTGCTGAATTATTTATACTTCTTATGAAAGAGGAAGGTGAATGGTATTTGAGGACCAAATACCAATCCAGGATGCAAATGAATTCCATATCTCATTTTGAGAACCACTGCCTGCTTTGTTTGTGAAGAGCTGGACCCCAGTTTAAGCCTTCTCTGTCCCTAAAATCGTGTTTGAAATAATCTGCAGAATCTTACTATCAAAGAAAGAGGATTTTTTAATGGGAAAAAAAAAAAAGAATTTTACACCCGAGGCAAGCAAGTCAGTCAACTGAGTAATTCAAAAGAAGCAAATTAAATTTATGCTAGCAAAATATCCTATCTGAATTTCTATCTGAATTGTATTTTTTGACTGAAAAGTTCTCAAGTTAAACCAGAGACAAGATTTGAAAACTGTTACGAATTTCCTTACTATCTCTTGTTTCAGAAATTTATTTGTTAATATGATGCTGCTTCCAAAACTTAGTTTTAGACTTATAGTAAAAATAAAAGGTTTTTAAAATACTCAGTCAAGTTTTCCTGCTTTAGAAGTTAACTTTGTTCAAGATTTGAGATGTTTTAAGCAGTTTTATGCTATTCATTTGGGTATCCAATATCTAATTCTTTAGTATTTATAAAATGTCCGTGTAATTAAGGTACAGTTTTGCCATTTCAGATTTATCTTTGTATTTTCAGCACTTAAACTTGTGAGAGCTGGTTTAGAAGACTGACCAAATTGCAACAATGACCCGTGTTCACTTCAGTGTTTAGTAGTTACACCTAATTGTCTAGGTTAATAATGACTTGTGACTAGGGTAGCTTTATTGCGCCTTGCAAAACAGTTTGGGTTGGCAGGGTTTGAGAAAAGCCTTATTTTTTAAAGATGGTCATTAACCTCCAAAAGAAACATGAAAGAGCTTTCTTGGTCACATAATTCTTCCAAGTTTGTTGGAAGACAGATTCCAGACTGCAAAGTGGTGGATCTTGGACCAACTAAAACCTTACTCCTAACACAGTCATTTTGGCACATTTTCAAAAGCACCAACATCTGAGCTAACTTTGGGCCTCAGCCATGCTAGGTGCTCACCTGAGACCTGATCTGCCTGTTGGAACATGCTGCATTTAAATTTGGGGATTTATTTACAAATAGATGCTTGTATCAAGGTTCATCTCAGAGTTGTTAATGCTGGAACAGTGAGAATACCTCTTTATGAGGCTCATTGACTGTACCAGCCTGAGTCTGCAACATATGCATTTGAAAGTAATATCACTCTCCATTATTGCAGGAGTTCTCAATTCCTAGAAAATACCTCTCCTTCATTGCATTTTTTTTCTTCTCAAACGTACTTACAAAGTCGTATTTTTAACCTCTTCTTTTTTTTTTTCATCTTCTCCAAGTTGTTATTAAGTTCCCCTGGTTTGAGAAACAAAGTGTGCAGGGAGAAGTAATATCTCTCGTTAGACAAACTAACATTCAGAAAAAAATTGGGCAAGTTTCCAGGCACTCAAGCTCTTCTTTGAGTGTTCCCCAAAATTCGTAGTCTATCCCTTGGTCTAAAAAAAGTATTGCTCTTCCTACCACCTAACATTTTGTGTGTACTTATCAGAACTACAAGAACATTATGAAACTGTTTAGTATTTTATGGGTCTTTTTGTGCACTTCGTCAGTTCTATTGAGGGCTCAAGCAGCATGCACAGATCTCCCTCATGTGTCCAGACCAAAAAGGATGAACTCTCACCGCCATCCAAACAATCTCTCTCATGTGTGTATGTAGACAACCAGTCTGATCGTCTCCCCTGTGGACAGTTGTATCTTATTCAGAGGATCGTGAGAAGGATCCAGTCTGGTTAACACTAGCACCTAACTTGCATCTGCTTTTTAGTCTCTTACTAAAGCAGTTCGCCTTACAATAAGTGCCTAGGTACTTTGCATAGTCCAAGTTAAAAGGTGGGTACTTTTGAAGGTCTCCAGAGAAGCAGACTCCTATCCCTCTGATTTAAGTCAAATGAATGCCATTTGCTGTTCCTTAATCATCTTCTTTTCCATTTCACATAAGTCCTGTTTGTTGTTTGTCCTTTTTTACTTGCCATGTAAATTAAAACCTTTGCTATTTAAATGCATGCATTTCTTGAAGGTCCTCATTGAAATACAGGTATATCTCCCTCACATCTTCTAAAAAAATGAAGTGACAGATGACTGAGTAGACTTAATATCACAGTCCAGAGCTTATGGCTTGAAAGTCCCTACCTCAGTGATGGCTCTGTGATCAGACTGATACTAATTTGATGTTCTTAGTTCTTATGCGTTTTTAGAAATGAACCATCAAAAGGAAAATCAGCAGAATTATTGGCTACCGCACAGCGTAGCCTTAGTAGATACATTCAGAGGAGACATGGGAAACAAATTGTATTCATCCCAATTATATGACGCTGTCCTCAATGTGTTTTAAACGTTAGTTGTCTTCTTTACACCTCCTGTTGTGTCAGGAAATAGTATTGTGCCTGGGCTTCACACAGAGTTTAAATTACTTCTAATTCTACACTTCCCTTATAGAAGAGGCACAAACCAGATTTAATTTTCCTGAACTATAGGCTGGTGCTTTTGCTGTATTCTCTCAACTCCAAGGTAGGGAGGTGAGAGATGCTATTTGGGGACGGTAAGAGGTGGTTCCCAGATTATAGATGTCTTGGGAATGAAAAGAAGAATTTAATCTCCTGGCAAGGTACATCCAAAGCTCCATGTCCATGGAAAATAGGTTGGTTTTTTTTTTTTTAAATTACATGTTTTAATTAACCCTATTGCTTCTCCACGCAGGCATGAACGCTTTACAGTTACAGAATTTGGCAACTTTAGCAGCCGCAGCAGCCGCCGCCCAAACCTCAGCTACCACCACCAATGCAAATCCTCTCTCCACAACGACTGGTGCTCTGGGAGCCCTCACAAGTCCTGGTAAGAGCAGAGTGCTTGCTTTCAAAACGCAAAAATGAAAATAAATGGGAAGCTGATAGTCAAAACAGTGATTCCATATTGTGTCTGAGTTCTGTGCTCATATAATTGCTAGAGACCCTTTTAATAGCTGAATAAATTTTTATTGGTGTTCTTGTTGGGCAAATAACTAATTTTTCAAGTGGTCCAATGTGGGCATGTTCACCTTTCCAGACTCATTTCAGAGGCCATTAAAGCCTAAAGGACCCATCTTACAAAGCTCTACATGAAAATTACAATTGCATGGGAAACTTAAAGTAAATTATACTTTCCAGAAAGAATTCAGTACGTGAGCCAATCCTTCCCATCCTACAGCAACCAAGGTGGTTGTTTTTAAGCCCTGAGGGACAGATCTTTGATTCTCAGCACAACATGCATGTATTGCCTTCACCCATCATGAACTTCTGTGAAGTCCTTCTCTCTTTTGTTCTTTCTCTTTTCTTTGTTGTAGCCTCAGTTGAGCTTTCTTCTGGTCCTAACTGAGAGTACAGTTACGGAAGTGATATCAGATGCACAAGGAATACACAGGCAGATTCTGAGTTTATTACACTAGGCAGAAGACAGATTTACGGGGGAATAAGGGACAGGATAAGAGGTGGTGGTGCCTCCATGACCACCATGTAGACTTTCAGCCATGCATGTCCCATGTCTGCAAAACCATAGAGAGAAATCGGGGAAAATCCAGAGTTTGGTAACACTTCAGCAACTCCAGAATCCACAGAGAGAGATGTTGAGGCAGTGTAGTTACTCTGGATTTACAGTGATGTAGCTAAGTCAAGATTCCGCCCGCTTATCTTTACATAAAGGCTGCAGGGTGTAATTACTTGCATCATGAAGTGTGTTTATTGCTGTTCTAAAAAACATTCATATTATTTTAGACACCACTAAAGAACATTTGCGTTTAATCTTGTTTAAGTGTGTATTTATTCCCCATGAAAAAGTAATTCATGGCAGACGGTTTGAGCTCATCAGTAAGGAAAACAGTCTTCACTGCACAATAGAACTGGGACCGAGTGTGGTGCCGGGTGTTAAAGCTGGCTGACGTTTCCTGTTATATTACAGTTTTATTGTTTGTTTGGGGAAGAGGTTAAATGGAAGACAGCTTGGCTAATACGAAGTTTGTGCAGCATTTTCCTGTTTCTGGTGTGAGCTTCATCTCAACCTAAAAATAATATTCATTCACAACATCTGTGAGAAGCAGACTGGGTGAAAATAATTTTGGTTTGCTGATACATATTTTTTTTTAAACCTGAGCAATCTCTTCCCTCTGACCTGGAGCTGGGGCTTAACACTTTGCAAAAGGCTAGTCTCAGTGTCAGTGCTTCTGTGCTATCCTGTCTAAATGTCACCCATTTATAGAAGCGGAAACGTTGCATTTCATGCATGCTCTGTAATATCTCTGCAGTTTACCTGTTAAATGTCTGGGTAGCCTGTCCTCCCGAAGCACGCTCAGCATTTCTTGAGCCATACCGACAAGACTTCTCAGGGCAGCTCAATGTACTGCACTGCAGTGCAGAGGGGCTGGAAATGAACTTCCCTTATCATTGCTGCTCTGCAGCAAAGTGGCAGCAGAACCTCAGGCACCAGCATGTTTCTGTCATGCTCTTTGTCTTGCCATGTTAGCAGAGGACTCAGATTCATCCTTAAGGTCCACATTTTCCTCTCCCCCTCTCCAACACAATCTTCTTATCCAGCCTGATTGACTTGCTATTCCCTCTTTCAACCTGATCTCAAGGCTCCTTGAGTACCTGGAAGGTGGTTTCATGTGATGTCCAAGTCTGCAGAGTCATGTGGTTAGAAAGGTGCTTCAGCTGGGCTGGGCAGGTACTTCTTTGGGATAACTAGAGCTTAGTATTGCTCAGCGTGGTGTTGTAGAGCAGATACCAAGGTTTTTCCAAAGAGATTAGTGATTTGGGCTAACACATTGAAGATGCGTTATTTTCAAAAAATTCTGGACATTTAGCCTTTGAAATAGTGTATTCAGAATGACAATCACTTTTGAAAGTCTTATAGGTAGTAGTGGTACACAAGTGTTTCTAATATTAGACAGCTTGGTGTGTCGAAGAGAAAGTCTGTATCTTATGGTTCATTGACCTATTTATGTTGCACAGCCAACCTAAAATCAAGCCTTGTTAAAATGTCCTTGAGTTTAACCTTTCTTATCTGGTTCCACATTCTCCACCCTATTAAATATTTTGTAAACCTGAATAATATGTTCAATGATTCTTCTCTGCTCTATGGAAAATGAATTTAGTTTGATAAAGCTTTTCATAGTAGCTCAAAGTATTTCCATTAAAACTTGAAATACGTTGGCAGAAAACATTTAAATCTGCCTTTCAATGTGTGGATATTTGGAGGCCTTGAGGGTATTTTTTTTGGTGTAGTTTTCTTTTAATAGAACACTTCAGGTTTTTGTGTTTCATAAGTGTAAATTATTTTGTCTGATTTCAAAGCCTGCACTAAGCCCAGGAAGAAATGTTTGTGTCTCTCCAGATAATGCATTAAATTAATATTTCTCAGTTCAGAAAACTGCCCAAATTTAGGAGAGTGCAAAGGTACATGTTTAAATTTAATCTTTTTCTTGATGCTCTTAAAGCCAAAATACTGCACAGAACAGGGATAGGCATGAGCATGTACTTCTAATATGCCTTAAACCATGCCAGCCACATAAATCATATCTATGTTTCTACCAATATATAAGTATATCTCTCCTGAAGATCTCTTCCGAATCAATCTTTGACCAAGAGCTCTTGTTCTGTCCGTTGTAGACATGTGTCATAAGAGCCCCAAAAGGTGGTTACTTCAACTAAAATTCATCTTGCAGCTCAGTTTTATATAGACAAGATTTAGGAACCTTCAGTGCATCAAACTGTTACGGAGGGATGGTGGTCAGACTGACTTTGATGCATTGGCAACACAGAACAGGCCAGGAAGTGAGGAACCAACAGCTCATCTGATATTTGAGGATGTCAGGTTTTGCTGCTGGCTTCTAATTGCAAAATATTCAAAAAGAAGAGAAAAATATTCAGCATCTAATAGTGACTGTTCAATCTGTACGAAACTTCTACTTCAAGGTTCATACAATCGCATATTTCCAAACAAATTAAACTCCAATGATCTTTCTCTCATACATTCTTACTAAACAGCTTTGACCGCAACAGAGTCTAAGGACACTCATTCTCTTCCGTGTGCTAAATACTTTCTCTTAAGCTTGAAACAGTATTCATTCAGAAAGAACAGAGACAATGCAATCCCCCAAACTATTAATTTTTTTATAATTGTAAATTTATAATTTCAATTTTGCATACCCATGGAAGTCTCTCCCTACAGCATTGTTAGAAATGATTTTTTAAAAGCCTTTGCTTAAAAAAACATGAAAGATTAAGCTTTCATTTTAGTAAAAATCCCCTCAGGCAATAAATAGGTTCTTTTGTCTCTTGGCCCTGGAAAAAAAATTAAAATGGTTTAAATTGCCCATGGTTAAAGTAACTGTTTCTTGCAATTATCAGATGGTAGTGAATAAAAATGAAAATGAAATCATGAAAGAATAAGAACCAGGTAAATGCATATTATGTCTTTCATGAGTTTCTCACGGGTCTTTTGAAGACTCATTTAATCATCTTTCTTGTCTTTTATTTTGATATGATAATTGTTTCCTTTATTTACTTTAATAACCTCTATTTAGTTAATTAATTCTTCACTTTCTTTTCATTTCACTTACTTAGAATACTTTCCTGTTTTAAAGGCAGGTACCTGTAGTATTTTGTAACATAAGGATTTGGGCTGGGGTAGCTTTTACTTGACTCCAGGTCTAGGCCAGTTTGTCTCAGCTCCCTTTTGGTTGGGCCCTGGAAGTTTGCGTTTCCCATTAACTGGGAAGGGATTTTGGAGGCACTACCTCAAGTGTAGGTATTGACACTAAATTTCTCAATTTAGGCAGGATGAATCTCAACTAAGTGTCAGGAACCTTGTCCTCTCCTCCAGAGACTGTCCTTGACATGTTCTGCAAATGGATTGGCTAGCAAAGAGCTTGCAGGGTGGCTGCTATTCCAGAGTCTGCAGAGTTTTATGGTTTATTCACTAGGTGGTGGAAAGGCCTGGATGTGGATGTGAAGGGGGCACATACAAGCTCAGGATCAGAGTATCTGCCTCTAACACTGTCTGACATTTAATTTGCCTCAGTTAACCCGCTACCCTTATTTTCCCAAGGATAATAATATTTATTCTGACTGTCCTGGGTGGTACAAGGTTGATACGGCACTGTAAAAAATTTCCTGATATTGGGAGCTATCAAGCTTCTGATCTTTTTGCAAACTGACATTAAGTAACAGCAGAAAAATGTTTTGTGCTCAGAGGAAGAATATGGAAGTTGGGTTTCAGACAGCAGCTTACTTTGTCTTCTTGCCCTTCTCCATCACTGCATGGATTTTTATTGTTTAATGCCATAATGTTAGAGTCACAGAACCACACAGGTTGGTAAAGCCTTCCCAAGTTCTCTACTCCAGGCTCCTGCTCGCAGCAGGACCACTCAGAGCAGGTTGGCGAAGGCCATGTCCAGTCAAGGTTTGAATATCTCCAAGGATGAAGATTCCACAGCCTCTGTGAGCTCATTTCAATTTTGTTTCTTAAAATTCACGCATAAATGTTTTTTCAGTAGCAAGTAGGAAAGCCCTTCTATGTGCAAATGAAGAGATGAAACATCTAATTATACATCCAATTTTATCTGCATAAACATACACAATATAAGTTCTGAGCTGTGGGGGTATAGAATTGCTAAACCAGAAGCTAACCAGTTTCAGACTTAGGAGCCTTGATTTTCCGTGACATTTTCATGATTATCTGATTCTCTAAACTATTATTTATTCACACAGCTGAACTAGCTATTCATGCTTTGGTAAAAAAGCTCTTCAGCTTTATTTGCTGTGTAAACCTAAGAGGAAATCATTCTGCAAAAAAATACTGTC